TGAGCCTGGACATCTTCAATCTTCAGCAGCTAGAACAGAATTTATGGCTGTTGTACATAGGGTCACTGTGAGTCGCAAGCGACTCGACGACACATAACAACAACATATGACAAGTGATGCTCCCATGCTCCCATCTAATTCTATCAATTACAATACCAATAATGACTCCTACGGCTCTAGTTGCTGCACTACTACATGGTACACCTATCTGTTGCAATGGCCACACAGAACTCTCCAACCAAACTCACAATTTTTACAAGTGAAGTTTTACTAGTCAAGTAAGTTTTACTAGTGAAGTAACAGTTTACAGTTTGGTTGGAAGTAGGAGCAGTTCTTCAGCCAGGATAGTTATTCAGGTTTGCACCCAAACCCTCTTGACCTTTTGCCTCCCAGACTGAGACAGTGTTACAAAACTTTTTTTCCCCCAGTGGGGACAATTGAGACATAACTTCCAGTCCTCTAGTATGCCTGAGCTAAGGCCCACTGCTATGTCTCTGTAGAATGACTATTCAAGCTCAGCTTTGTCTTTCATTGATCATTAGTTCTCCATCATCTCTTTGGCAGAGGCTGATGTTTCTCTATTTTATTCTTCCTTGAATAGGAACTTTTGGCCTACAAAGAACAACACTTCACTACCTGTTTAGTCTTTCTTGGTGGTAGTGAGATTCTGGTTATAAATGTGCTCAACTTAAGCCTAGTGTGATGACAAGTATGATTAAAATCATTGGTAGCATATACACTCTATTAACATATTCCTAAACAAAAGACCTAACAGGAAAAAGACAACAATTCTCACAATGAGACCAATTGGCAGCACCATGATAGATGGAGAAGAGATTGGTGTTGTTAGCAATTACAGTTTCCTAGGCTTCACAATCAACACTGTTGGCACCAGCAGTCAGGAATTTAAATAGCACTGGGAATATCTGCTGTCAGGGACCTCTCCAGAGTACTGAAAAACAATGCCATTCTAGAGACGAAGGTGCACTTGATCCAGGCATGGTCTTTACAGTTACTTGCTGTGTATCAGAGAGCTGGACAATGATTAAGGATGGCAGAAGAATTGATGACTTTGAGTTGTGGTGAGGGAGAATAGTCTTGAACATACCATGAACTGCCAATAAAACAGAAGGTCTGTCTTAGAGAGGGTGAAATCAAGTTGGAGGCTAGGATTTTGAAGCTCTGTCTCACGTACTTTGTGCATGTGACCAGGAGGGACCTGTCCTTGGAGAAGGACATCATGCTCAAAAGGGTGGAGGAACAGGGCAAAAGAGGTAGACCCAAAATGAGATGGATTGATACAGTAACTTGTGCAATGGGAGTAGGTGTGTTGGAATCAGTGAGTCTGACTCAGGATAAGCGTTAGAGCTGCTGGTGGAAGATCTATCAACAATCTGCGACATGCAGATGACACAGCCCTGCTTGCTAAAACTGAGGAGGACCTGAAGCACCTTCTGCAGAGGGTCAAGGACTGCAGCCTCCAATATGAATTGAGGCTCAATGTCAAGAAGACAAAGATTATCACCACTGGACCAATTGGCAGCATCAAGATGGATGCTGAAGGGATTGAGATTGTTCACAGCTTTAGTTTGCTTGGCTCCACAGTCCCTCCTTACAGCATGTCCAAAGTATATCAGACAAAGCTTCAAAATCCTTGCCTGCAAGGTGCAGCCTGGTTTAACCATCTCCAGGATGAATCTGTTATTTCTCTTAGCAGTTCACGGTATATATTCAATACTTTTCTCCAGCACCACAGCTCATAGGTATTAGTTCTCCTTCTATCATCTCTAGTCACTGTCCAGCTCACTGATACAGAGTGTTTTTTTCAAAAAAAGTGGGAGGGATATAGGTAATACATCACTGTGGTAGTTCAATTTTAGAAAAGGGTTTCAAAGCCTTTTTTAATTTTTTTGATTGTTACTGATTTCTTTTACGGGTTTGTACTCCATTCATACCTTTTCTCTCCTCCTTTTTATAAAATTCATTCATTGGTGCACATTTTTCTCCCTCTCCTCCCTTCCCCCACCCTGTCCATTTTGTAATGCATCTCTTGTTCCAGATTATTGTCACACACACACATCATCATATATTCCTTTCAATAGTTCTTCCCCTTATCAGTTCCAACTCAGGGTTCTTTTTTCTTGTTCTCTCCCCAATCCCTCATATCAATCTTATTTTGTAACAGTAGTGCTATGCACTATTTGTCCTTCTGTAACTCACATATTTCACTCAGGATAATGTCTTCCAAGGCCACCGGTACTGTATAAGGTTTTGTGAGTTCATTGTTATCAATACTATGTAATAGTCCATTGTATGAATGTACCAGAGTTTTTCTATCCATTCATTTGTTGAACTTTTATTTTTATTTTATGTTCTTTTATTTTTATTTTATGTTATACAATCACTTGATATGCATCAGAGAGTTGGACAATGACTAAGGAGGATAGAAGAATTTATGCCTTTGAGCTGTGGTGCTGGAGAAGAGTATTGAATGTACCATGGACTGCCAAGAAAACAAATAGATTCATCCTGGAGAGGGTTAAATGAGGCTGCTCCTTGGAGGCAAGGATTCTGGGGCTTCGCCTGACATACTTTGGACATGTTGTAAGGAGAGACAGGTCTTTGGAGAGGGACATCATGCTGGGCAGAGTGGAGGGACAGCGCAGGAGGGGAAGACCCTCTATGAGGTGGATTGATTCAGTGACTGGGGTAATCGGGATGGGTGTGTCAGAGGCAATGAGATTGGCACAGGATAGAGCAGGGTTTAGGGCTGTTGCACATAGGGTCGCTATGAGTCGCAAACGACTTGACGGCACATAACAACAACAACAACAATACTGGTTTACATACAAAGTTCATAAAATTTGTATGCATTGTTTTTCACACTGAATCTTACCTCTTTCCTTTACTCATCCCTCTCTCCACCCATCAAATTGTGTGACCCTGTGACTAAGCCCAGCCCTCCTTGGGTCCTCGTACTCGTTCTACAATAATGTTCTCATACAGTATTTGTCTTCATGAGACTGGGTTAGTTCACTCAACATAGTGCTCTCTAGTCCCTTGCATGTTGGATAATAATTAACAAAAGTGTGTTACTTAGAAAAAAATTTTTAAAACAGACTTTTACTGTGACTTAGTGAATGTTTAAAAAGCAGATCAGTGTTCCATTCAGCAATTTATAAACATTTTATTTCATGTCATCATTACAGTCCTCACGATGTAACACACATCTCTCTTCCTTCCTGTGTTTCTGTTTACATTTCTCATCTAACCTTTCTTGCCTTCTGAAATTTATCCTTGGACTTATCTTGAGTAACTGATTGTTCATACATCTTCAGTATTGTTATTCACCTCATAGACACATCTAGTGCTTGGCTGAAAATTGATTCACTTTGATGGGTTCAGTTGCAAGCTTAAAGCATGGCTAAGGGTTATTATTTCATTAATTTCACCAGTAAAAATACATTTTTATTCAGTACTGATTTTAGTACTGTCATAAAGTAAGTAGTCTTTAATATAAACCTTTTTCATTCTCTTACTACTTCCACCACTTAATTTTAGGATGTTGCCTAGCTTTTTTATAATTAATCCCTTAATTCTACTGCCTGAAAGCTGTTAGGTTTTCATGTATGAAAAGACATCTTTCATCATTTTCCCCTGGGCAAATCTCCTACTGTTCAGAAGGGATGGTTTTAAGAAAGTAAATATGTAGATGATGCTACTAAAAAATATACACACTCAAACTCATTATCATTGTCATTGGATCAGAACCAAGTCAGCTCTCCCTATAACATGTTTTTAGAGACTAAGGCTCATGCGAAAAGATTTCTCATCTTTCTCTCATGGACCTACTCGTGGGCTCCAACTGCTTTTAGGTGGACAACACAATTCCCTCAGATACACCACCATAGCTCTCTCGATAATAATATGGGCATTAAAATAAACAAAGAAAACCTTGCAATTGTCACTGAGTGTGAACTGAGACATGACCATCTATTGAGTTTCCAGGGCTATAAATTGCTTAGGAAGAGATTGTCCATTTCCCCCCCTCGGAGCCACTGGAAGATTTAAACTGCCAAAGATTCTAGACATTTGGGTTAGCAATACACATGCCTATGGAAGATGATACCAGAGCTCATTTAGAAGCCATTGCTATTGTTAGGTACCTCTAACTCAGAACAGACTCATAGCTGCCCCTCTAGCAGGTTTCCAGAGGCAGCACACTGCGTGGGAGGAGACTGTCCATCTTAGTCCCACAGATCAGCTGGTGACCTCAAACTGCGTGCCTTCGGATTATGTCACAGCTTCTTACCACTAGACCACCAGAGATTCCGAAGCCACAAGTAGAATAAGAGAAAAAGGAGAATAAAATGTGGAATGTGTCATTTGGTAAAGATTGGCTCTATTAACTGATCTTGTTGCTATGATTAGGGTTTTGTTCTGTTTTCTTTTGTGAAAAATTTTATCCAGTGTAAAACAGATATTCTCCTCAACTTTATTCTTACTCCGAGAGATCTTTTAGGACAAAGTAAAACTTCCCCATGAAGTTTCCCTGACTCTCAGTTAAAACATACTGTGATTCATTTCTAATATGGGTAGTTCTGTCAGCTTAGCTTTTAGAACAGCACTTACCCATTGCACCATCAGGACTCCTAGAAAGTCACACAGGTTGTAAAATATCAGGGAAATAATTGGCTTTGTTTTTATGGTTGAGATTCAGGGGGTAAAAAAACAAACAAACCAACAAACCCCAAACCTGATCTAGTGCATTGCTAGTGCTCTGAGAGTTAATTATTGATATAGTTATCATAATGATGTCCTTATTTTAATACCATCTTTTAGTTGCCATAGAAGATTGAGAGCTTTCCAAAAGAGTAAAGATTTCTTTGTATTGCATATGAAAATGGAGATTTTTTTTTAACAATTTCAATTGTAGTTACTGTTGAAATAATAATTGGTCAGTGTGCTTAATTATCTTTTCTGGTTTTGGTTTCCTACAGGTAACCCGTTGTTAATGAGCAAGGTCAATGTACTCATTAATGTGTTAGATGTCAATGAATTTCCTCCAGAAATATCTGTGCCATATGAGACAGCTGTGTGTGAAAATGCCAAACCAGGACAGGTATTGTACCATTATTATTAAGTGACAATAAATAACGACCCATATCTGCCTGTGTTTTAGGTTACATGTTACAAGGATATATGCACAAATATGTAAGTTTCTGGACCAGTTAACTTTAAAAAAAGATACTGTAAAAACTACTAAATTCTTACAAAGTAATGATAAAAGAGTATATGTCCTAATAATTCTTATATTCCTGAATGTTCTTGGACTCTAGCATACTTGTCTGCCACAGTATTTTACAATTTCTATAGAACATTTCATTCACTGTTAACCTAGGAAGTGACTAACATAAGTAAACCTTCTTTCAGGGTATCTTTTACTTTGATCATGTGTTTACTTGAAAGGATGAACCATTACTGAAAATGTAGTCATCCTTCTCTCTGGTCTCCAGAACACAGGGGAAAATTGTACACTTAAAGCATGCCCATGGAAAAATCCTAAATTGTATGTAGTGTAGAAAGCAATTTCCCATATAATATAAATGAATATATAAAGAGTATCATGAATGGACAGGTGATAACATTGTGTTATCAAGAAAATAACGTAATGCTGCTTACAACAAGTCAATATGGTTTGATACATTTTAATAATTTAAGTGAACATAAAGAGCGTTAATTACTTAATGACTGAGAAATTTTAACTATAGGTGAAGTAAGTCAATATTTAAATTGATTTTTTGAAAAATATTCTTTAATCAGTTTTATTTTAGTTTTATTTTTTCTTATTATTTAGTAGAATATTTATCCCATAGCTCTAATTCTTCAATATAAACTAAACAGACATAGGTACTGTAATGTACATGTATTTAGGTCAGAGCAGATAAAGAATATTTCCATCAGTGCAGATATGCCTTTTGGATTATGCTGATTTAATACTTCATTTCTAAATTTTGGAAAAAGAGATAGTGTAATGTGAATGGTATGGTCATATTTTTTCAAAGCAGAAATTCTGCAACTTTCATTTTTGAATAGGCACAGAAACCACTTAAAATTTCAATCCTTTGCTAACTTGGTTACCTCATTTTCAGAGGTGAGTCTCAGGCTTATTTCAATGTCTAAAATAGTCTCAGGCTTTGCTCAAACTCTAAGAGTTTTTGTACAAATAAATAACATCATTAGGGAATATAGAATAATTGCACCAAAAGTCTGCAACTTAGGTACATTCCACTTTATCGACAAAATGTTTAAAGCCTATCTTTGATTGTTAGGCAATGAATAATTTCATAGCAGTCAAAATGGTGCAACATGCTAAGTCAAATTCTGTTGATAAGTAAGAGTTTCATTCATTTAATGAAACTCTATTTTTTTGTAGGAAGATTTGGTAGTATGTTGTTGTTATGTGCTGTCCAGTTGCTTGCGACTCATAGCAACCCTATGTACAACACCCCTTCACCCTGCCCTATCTTGTGCCAATCACACTGTCTCTGACAGACTCATCCCGCTTATCCCAGCCACTGAATCAATCCACCCCATAGAGGCTCTTCCCCTCCTGCACCGTCCCTCCACCCTACCAAGCAT